GTAGTGTTATATAGCATCACTTCACGAGCAAAGGCAGCATATTCTTTACTCGTATTGCAACAGCAAAATTAGGTGCTTCCAACATGCAAAATACTCAAGTGGGAACATAAATGAGTCCGAGACGATATATAGACATGTCTATTTTGATATTCTATTTTAATAATAACATACCTTGGATGCAAAGAAAGGTAGCTCAGTCACAGTAGACTGCACGAATGTACATTCCACGACGTCTGGGACCCCGTTAAGTCCTTTTAAGCAAGCATCCGCGAATATGGCGCCTGCGTAGCTGCACAGTTTAAGATGTTGTCAGATCGACTTTCCTATCATGACAAGCAGATTACAGAGTAATCAGAAGTACATTCACCACTAATCAGGGGCAGCATCTCATGTCACACCATTAAATTTATTAGGGGATATAAATGATTGATGAAATTTATGCAAACAATTAATTGGATTCTTTGTTAAAACCGATCAACCAACAATTACGGGTTTCGATAACAATTACCACTTGCAGTTATTTTTGGGGCTGAGTAGGGAGGGGTGAGGAAAAGCTGATACAGATTGGTTACATTTGAACTAAAAATCACTACTAGAAGAGATTTTGATGTATAGTATCTATATGTAATATTCTACAATATAATACCCAGCAGTGAATAGCGTGCATTGACATCTTTTATGCTGAGAAAAAGGATGACCTTAGAAAGCAATTTAGAAACTCTAAGGCTGGTGCTGACTATTTCTAGTTGCTGATAGATGAGTAGTAAATGTAGAAGACATGAGCAAATATACTTGCTGTTCAAACATAATACCATCCATCAAAGTGACCCTGCTAAAACTCTTAAGGAGAAGTGGCAAAAAAAAAATCAACACAAAGCAAGCAGAAGACCGTCACTTACGCCATTGAAAGTGTAGCCGAACCCTTTCCAGCCTTAGCTTCAACAACTTCTGTCCCACCATCTTGTGTTCTTTGTGTGAGAGCTTTGATATATTCATCCGACAGATTTGCTTTTGGTGTAGCCTATAGCAAAGAACCAAAGTTAAGTGTCATTCACAACATTATTGCAAAAATTAATTCCTAAATACAACGGCGAAAAGTGATTTCCGTACTTGTGAAAACAAAGGGAGAATAGTAACTCCAGCATGACCTCCAATTACAGGTACATTGACATCTGTCAAAGAGATTTGAGGGGACAAGTTTAGGTAATGCAAAAATCATAGACATGTAAAATCATAACCTTAGGCTAACGAGCAC